GTGTTTAGTTGCTGGCTGGGGTTAAACTAGACAGTGATATACCAAAGCAGTCAGACCCTTGTCTTTTACCCTTCTAAATTAAAAATTAAGGTTTTGGGGAAAGAAACAGTGACTTGATTTTTTTTTTTTTTTTTTTTAAAAAGAGCATTTGGCTGAAACCTTGGTCAGTTATTGGAGGATATAAGCTATTTCTGCAATATAGTAATACATCATTCCTATACTGGAATTTCTGTAGCAAGTAATTCCAGAATTATTAATATCTATTTCTTTTAATATGAACTTGTTCAGACTTTCAGAATTCCAGAGTTTTAAAATTCATTTTCTTGCTCTCCACCTAATACTTAGGCAGTACTTTAGGAAATGGAGTTTGCAATTAAATACTGGTTTGATTCCCCTTTCTCCCCCTGCTGATTTATCACAACGCAAGAAGATGGTAAGTTCTCCTTTCTAAGCATTTCTAAAATAAAATGCAATTGAAGATTAGGAAAGGCCTGCTACCCAAGCTTTGAGAGGCTATCTTTTAAAAATTCCTTTACAAATAAGCACTAGCTTTCGATGTAAAGTGTCTTGAAATTTCTAGCTGTGGGAATTTATTCCTGAAATAACTTGTTGTGTGTGTTGCTCCTGCTTTGTCCTACAAAACAGCGTATCTCCCATCAAACTTCTATAATTTTCAATTAATTAGCATGCACCTCCCAGAAGTGAGAGGATGACTGTTGATCAGGACTGGAGCAGTGTTTATCCAACAGCAGCTGCGTTTAAACCTGCCTCTGTGCCTCTCCCAATTCGAATGGGTTACCCAGTGAAGAGAGGAGTACCTCCACCAAAAGAAGGCAACTTGGAACTTATAAAGGTAAGACTCGTTCCATTGGTGTGTGGTAACTTTTAAAATTATTATTCACTAAGACTGCACTGCTTTGATTGGAATATTTGTATTGGATACTGTTTTCTATTATTAAAAAGGATAATATTCTATTTAATTCCTAAATTAAATGGTAACAAATGCAAATGTAAGTAACAAATGAACCAAATCAGGAGACTTTTTAGGATTATCATGCCTGTGACTTTTGTAACGGGGCTTAACTTAAGTCTTTTGCTAAATCAGACTTGAGAAGAGTCTTCTTATCTGAATATTTTATTAAGCGTATTGTACGACCTTAACAAATGTTAAAAATGTAGTCAGATTTCAGTAATGCCCCTTTATTTATGAACAAAAAGCTATTATTTTGGTAACTCTTAACATGTCTGTTTCAGATTCCCAATTTTTTGCATCTTACTCCTCCTGCAATTAAGAAACACTGTGCAGCTCTTAAAGGTGAGGGGTTTTTTGGTTTTGTCTGTTTTTTCTTTTTTCTGTTTTTAAAAACTATCTTTCTTGGAGTTTTAAGGAAATGCAAAATGTCACTGTGTGTGATGAAGTAGAAGGTGAGACATGGTCCACCTCTGAAGCTGGTTATTTGTATGCTTTCTTGTTGCTGCATTGAGTCATACAGGTGGTAGGCAGATACGTCTTAGGAGGTTTTCAGCACACCGGTAAGACTTTAATTTTACTTTTCCATTAGGCCCTGCTTGTACTGGAGAATTTATAGTTTAGTGTTGTAAGGAAGATGAGTGATGAATGTGACTCAGTTCTCGGAAGATTATTTGTGATTAAACCAGGGTTTAATCAGTAGCCATTCTGGCATGCATTTAAAAAAAATGCAATTAATAAATTAAACCCTCTGGGAGAGCAAAGTCTGCTGGGGAGATACAGGATCTAATGAAGACCAAAAGCATCTCTGATAGCCAGCAAGCCAATAAGGAGAACCTAATGAGGAGGTTAGCCCAAAGAGAAGTGAAGGCATGAGGGGACAGGGAGGAGACAGAATCATAGACTCATTTAGGTTGGAAAAGACCATTAAGATCATAGAGTCCAATTGTTAACCTAACAGTGTCAAGTCTGCCACTAAACCATGTCCCTAAGTGCCACGTCTACATGTCTTTTAAATATCTCCAGGGATGGTGACTCAACCACTTCCCTGGGCAGCCTGTTCCAAGGCCTGACAACCCTTTCAGTGAAGAAGTTTTTCCTAATATCCTATCTAAACCTCCGCTGGCGCAATTTGAGGCCGTTTCCTCTTGTCCTATCCCTTGTTACTTGGGAACAGAGATCGACACCCACTTTGTTACAACCTCCTTTCAGGTAGTTGTAGAGAGTGATGTCTCCCCTCAGCCTGTATGATAAGAGATAAGAGGCCTGTCTTGAGTTGCTTGTATACAAATGCATGCAGTGTAGGAAACAGGAGGAATTAGAAGTCTGAGTCATCACAGAAATGCAGAGAGAAAGCTTACATGACTGAGGTGCAGGCAGGGATGATGCGGAGGAGGAGCTGACTTGTACCCAAAAGAACAGTTCAGATGCAGAGCTTTGCTGTGAGATGTGTAGCAAGCTGGTTGAGAGTTTAAGAGTAGGGATCAGAGGAGAAGCCAAAAAGGTTGTGTTGGTGGACATCTGCCACAGACTGCCTGGTTAAGAAGAGGAAGCGGATGAAAAAAGCTGAAAAAAGCCTCACAACTGCAAGCTTTGTTTTTCATGGGGAACTGCAGCCATCTCAACATCTGCTAGAAGGGTAACAGGATGGGATGGAAGCAATCTAGGACGTTTCTGGAGTGTGTTGCAGATAATTTCTTGATGCAGATGCTGGACAAACTGTCTATGGGAAGGTGCTGTGTTGCACATGCTATTCGCAAGTATGGAAGAACTGGCTGGGGATGCCAAGGTTGCTGTCAGCCTCGGTTGTGGAGAAGAAGGTTGTGGAGTTTAAGATCTTGAGAGAAGTGAGGAGTCGAAGTAGTGTATTGAAGGCAATTTCTTGATGCAGACAATCGATGAGTTGACTGGGAGGCATGCTCTGTTGGGTTTGTTGTTCAGAAACAAGGAAGAACTGGTCAAGTATGTGAAGGTTACGGGCATCCTTGGTAACAGTGGTCATGAAACTGTGGTGTTTAAAATCCTGAGAGAAGTGAGCAAGACAGACAGTGGAACTAGAGCTTGGACTTCAGAAGAGTGATTTTAGTATATTCAGGAATCTACTTGGCAGATCTCACGGGGTACTCTCCTGGGGAGCAAAGTGACCCACAAGAGCTGGTGGATGTTTAAGTTCAGCCTCCTTAAAAGAGCAAGAATGGTCCATTCCAGTGTGCAGAAAGTTGAGCCAGTATGGCAGAAGGACAGTGTGGGTTTGCAGGGAACTCCTGAGTAACCCGAGATGCAAAAAGGAAGTACACAGAAAGTGGAAGCAGGTAAAGACTACCCAGGAAGAGCAGGAGATCTTTGCTTGACCATCTTCAAGAAGGGCAAGAAGGAAAATGGAGGGAACTGCACGTCAGTCAGCCTCACCATATTCCCTGGAAGATTATGAAGCAAACCTTCCTGGAAGCCATTTCCAAGCATATGAAAACATGCTTTATAACAACCTGGGTAATGGTAGAGAGCACAACCTCAGCAGGTCTCCGGATAATAACAAACTGGGGGGGTAACAAGTGATACACTGAAGAGCAGAGCTGCCGTTCAGAGGCAGGAAAAAATCCGCTGCAAGGACCCTCATGAAGTTAAACAAAGGCAACTGCAAAGTCCTGCATCTGGGATGTGGGATCGAATAACCCGTGCAGCAGTACAGGTCGGAGGATGTGCGGGGGTGACAAATAGCTAGAAGGAAGCTTTGCAGAAAAGGCCATGTGGAGCCTGGTGGATATTTGAAAGTTAAACATGAGTCAGCAGTGTGCCCTTGTGGCAAGGAAGGCTAACTGCATACTGGGTTGTATTAACAAGAGTGTAGCCGCCACATTCAGGAAATTAATTCTTTCCCCTCTATTGAGTGTTGCATTCAGTTCTGGGGTTCCCAGTGCAAGAAGGACCTGTTAGCGGAGGGACACACGAATGACCAGAGGGCTGGAACACCCCTCCTGTGAAGAAAGGCTGAGAAGGTTGGGGTTGTTCAACCTGGAGGAGGGAAGGCTCTTAGGGGATCTTACTATCACCTTTCAATATATAAAGGGGACTTATAAGAAAGATGGGGAGAGACTTTTCACCAGGGCATGTAGTGATAGGACAAGGGGCAACAGTTTTAAACTGGAAGAGGGTACATATTTAGATTGGACATAAGGAAGACATTTTTTATTATGAGGGTGGTGAGACACTGGAAGAGCTTGCCTAGAGAAGCTGTGGATCCTGCATCATTGGAAGTTTTCAAGGTCAGGTTGGATGGGGCTTTGAGCAGTCTGATCTAGTGAAAGATGTCCCTGCCCATGGTAGGGTGGTTGGACTAGCTGATCTTTGAAGGTCCCTTCCAACCCAAACCATTCTGTGATTCTATTTGGCAATTGTGAGACTGCATCTGGAGTACTGTGTCCTGTCTTGGGATACCCAGTACAAAGAAAGACATTGAAATACTGGAGCAAGTCCAGGAGAGACCCTGCCGTTATCTAAATGAGTATGGTTTCTATAAATAGTACTTTTAAAAGGTATATTGCAATAAATTTGAAAAAAAAAAAAAACCCACCCAAAACCAACCAATAGATATTACTTGGAGTGTTTCTTTTTGTTATACAGATTTCTGCACTGAATGGCCAAGTGCTTTGGACAGTGATGAGAAATGTGAACAGCATTTTCCTATTGAAATTGAAACAGTAGATTATGTTTCTGCAGGGACATCTATTCGTAATCCCAAAGCAAGAGTGGTGACTTTAAGAGTAAGTACTATTTTTGGTAAACAGCCTTTGTTTCAAAAACCCAAATGCTTGGCTTTCTTTTAAAAACATGTGCAAGTATGATATGTTGTAAGAGAAACAGTTTACTGAATGTCTGAATAAAAAGCAGTGGATTTCCTTAACTATATTGCAGCATGTTAGAACCGAGGTTGTGAGGTTATGGATATGTAATTATAAATGAAGACTAAGCTCCAATATAAACAAAATAGTGTACCTTCTGAAGGATCTACTTATAGAAGAGGCTGTAAGTGCCTTAGTACTCAGCGTCTTGCTTGGACTCTCTCATTGCTAATTTATAGACCCTAGCAGTGCACAAGTATTGAAAGTTAGATCGTAATTATTAAGTATTGAGTTGGCAGGCCTCCAGGCGTCAGTGTGTATGCAGTAGGGGTAGCAGCCTTCTGATCATAGGGTCATGGGATACTTGAGGTTGAAAGGTAGCTCAGGAGTTTTCCAGTCTGACCTTCTGCTCAAAGTAAGGGAGGTATGAGATCAGACCAGGTTACTTTATCCAGTTGTGTCTTGAAAACCTTCAGGGCTGGAGATTGTACAACCTCTCTGGACAACCTGTTCCAGTGCTTGCCTGTCCTCGTAGTAAAGTTAGGATTGTGCTGTGACTTTTGAAAATGCCTTTCGAGATGAGATTTGAGCCTATCTTAAGAGCGGCAGCAGCAGCAGTGGGGTCAGTGATAGTTGTGTTCTTACTCTCAGTATAGAAGTTAAAATACTGCATGATACCACATGCTCATAACACCTCTACAACATTTAATCATGGCAACCTTGAACAGTAGTAGTTCATTTTGTCTGTAGGAGTCTCCACTTCCCCTTCACGTTGTAAAACTTTTTGGGCTGAAATTTAATTTCGTCTGTCATTGACTTAAATACGCATTTCACACCACTGTTAGCAGTAACTTCACCATCCCCTTGTAGTCATTGCATACTAGAGTTTAGGCTTTTGTCTCCTAATTCAGATCCATGGTCAAGAGCAAGTTTTCACAAGTTTGTATGCATTAGAAATAAAAGGAAATGGAGTATATCTGTGAGAACAGAAGCCCCTGACTTCATGCTAGGTTGTAAATGTGTGCAGGAGGAGGCACACATCGGACCCCCTTGCTCTCATATTCACTTGTCTCAGATGGAGTATTACTGACATTTGCAGGTCAGTGCTGAGCATGGTGTCACAGATAGGGGGAAGAGCTCAGCTGCTCAAACAGCCTTGAATCTCCTCCCAGTAAAAACAGCAGGTGGTGAGTGTATGTAAATTTCTTGCTTTTACGAGATATAAATGTCTTCTGTTAGATGTGGCTGTTGGAGACACAAGCTGTTGGACTAGAGGTCAGCTATGCTGCAATGGAGAGGATAATTCAAAATGATACACAGATAAGCATGCCTGTATTATCCTATCTAAATCTGTCCATTAATGTTAACTGGCCTTGGTACTTGGAAGGCATTATGTGGATGTGTATTATGCATGTATATTAAAAAAAGGAGGGGTTGGAGGGGGAGACAAAAATGGAACAATTATCCATATGCTTTTTCAGTTACTGGTGTTCTGATCCCAGACTTCATTAACAAATTCTTTTTCTGGTTAATGCTCTGATTAATCCTCTGACAATAAAATCTGCCTAGGGAGGGGGAAGGGAAGATTTAAAGGTGAAAGCAGATGGCACTGAGTCAGACAGTGGTTGAGTTTGTATCAATGAGAGAGCATTTACTGTGCACTTTGTTACAGACTATGATAAACTCTGTGGTGGACCTTCATGATAAAATTTCCTTTTTTAAATATTGATTAGAAGTTAAACCTTTTTAATCTTAGTTAAAAAATTATGCCTTGTTTCTACCAGGTATCATACTGGAGGTGCTAATTTTTCATCTTTTGTAGCCTAACGCCAGTATTTCTTGTCATTAAATTTATCCTAGTCTATTCCCAAGTAGAATTGTCCACATTGTGCCAGACAACATACTACTACAGGATGTAAAATGAAACTTTTTTTTTAAATCAACTGCTGTTCTTTGTGCAGCTCTAAATTCAACATAAAATTCAACATAAAATAGTCTGCACCATTCCAGCTAATAATTATAAGCTGTCCAGTTGCTATCCCATTTTGAAGCAAGTAGCTATATAAATATTCGTCACTTTAAACTGACTTTGGATTAGTAAGAACAACATATTTTTTGTGATCCTGTAATACAGGAAACAGACCAGATAGCTTTTTAGTTTTTATAGGAAAAGCAAGTCATGTGGAATAAAATCATAGCTCTTTAACAGTAAATTTCAGATGATCACACTGTGTGACGGCAGCATGATACAACTGTGATAATGCCATTCTTTTAAGACAGTGCAAAAAGTACTACTCAATGAAATTGTTTTGCATTGTTGGTTAAAGCAAGCTAACGCTGGACATCTGGGCTGGCGTATCCCATTAAGTTTAGATAGTCATGGTCATAAAGTGCTTACATGCACTAGCAGTTGTATGCTTGCCAGAGAGTTGTGTCTGAAACCCTTTAGAGTTTGGAGTATTCGTTCTTTCTGTGAGTGTTAGAGGAAGACAGTGTTAAGAAAATGTGTTTTACAAAAAGGTGTTTCTCATCGATTTGGGTGAGCATTGCTAGGCAGCAGTGAGGGTAGGCTGTTCTGTAAGGGAAGGAGATCCAGGGGCAATAAAGTAGGCAGGAGCAGTGACCTCCCCAAAAAGGGTGCAGCTACTACCTGAGCAAGGTGAGCAGAACAGGTCTGGTAATAGTAACCTCGTCCATCCAACAGCCCAGTAGTCACTTGACAAGTTCATAATGATGAGGCAAGTTTGAGGCCAAAGGGGGAAGAGAAGTCAGTGGATCAGGATTAGGTCTGGTGACAGTAAGTAGGATCGGTCAACAGTCTGGTGATTGTCAAGGCAATCCATAGGATGCAGTAGGTGAGGTCAAGACAGGAAGTCAAGGATGTGCGTCACGCTTGGGTCAGTGTGGGCTATGACGAGGCACAGACGTAGCTGTGTTGTGGCTCAAGCAGAGACCGAGGCTGAGTACCTCAGCTTAGATGCAGCTTCTCAGCAAAGCTAGGGCAGGCCCACCTTCTCATAGCTCCTTTTTTGTTGTCACCACTGGTTGAAAGCTACGTGGCTGCACTGTATGGAAGGGCACTGTATACTAAGGTAGCCTTGACGCTTAGAAGGGCTTGCTGTGTGCATAGGGACCTTGGAAGTATCGTGACTTCAGAAGTGACTGTTCATGGTCATTTTAGGCTGCATTAAGAATAGAGCTTTTTTTTGCGGCTTGACCATTGCCTTAAAGACTAGGTCTGTTAGACTTAGGCTTGACAAAATGGGAGCTAGGGAACAAAGCGAGGTGAGCTCCTGGTCACCAGTATTATAGGCATGCATAATAAATGAACATGTAATTCCTTAAAAAGGAGACATTTTTCACATAATCTATGGAGTAGTGAATGTTAGGGGTTTTTTTCAAGATTAGAAGTTTCAGTATTGAAACCCCGTTGTCTCCTCCATATTTAGGTTTAGTACTTCAGTTTTCTATTTTTAGTATTAGGGTTTTTTCTTTTCAGGTAGCACTTTTTTCCTGATATTTATTGGAGCTTATAATTTCTTTTAGTCCTTCAACTTTTGTTAGTTTTTCTGATGCAGGTTTCTTGATTTTTGAACAGTTCTTTAGTACAGCAATGACACGGTAGAAAGAATATAGAGGAAAACCAAACAGTGGACAAATTAGTAAGAGATTACTATTATGTCTTCATGTTTTTAATATATCTCAGCAATTCTCACTTAATAGAAACTTCTGTTTCCAACACCATATATCTTTAGAGTGTTAAGGTTCACAGCCTTCTTATTTGCTATTGTGTAAACAGATAGCTAAAACCAGCTTGCTTTACTTTTCATACTTGTTATTGCATATAGAAAGTAGCTTCAGACTAACTTCAAGGTTTTTTTAAAATAAATACTAGTTATTTGTTGTATATATTATGTTTGTGGGTTTTCTGGTATTGAAATAGAAGACAAGCCATTCACACTATTGTTTGATCAATTATGTGAGATTGGACAGTTCTGGTCCATTATATTGTTATCTGTGTGCATCTTTGCATACTTCTATTAATCTCCCAGTAATGACTTTGAAAATTCTGATCTGATGTCTCTTGAATTGATGTCTTTCCTCCTCTTTTGGATGCTTGTCATAAATATCTTTGATACATCTTAATATTAACCTTACTGATCTGTATTTAAAAAAAAAAAAAAATCTAAAAAAAGATTCATTTTTCCATATGAAGTACACGTGAATATGAAATACAGCTACAAACTAAACTGACAGCTCTTTTTTCATCTGGAAAAAAAGTTTGAGTAGAAATATTCTCCCCCAGCCCCTCTGGTATGTGAATGAAAAGAAATTTATTGTTTGAATATTCAGATTATACTTGCCTTGTGTTAAGACTTCTGACATGTGATACAATGAGAAGAAATTCTGCAAATGCGTACTTAATAGCTATCCTTGTAATTATTGATAAAAGATGTGCCTAACTATCTCAAAATATTTTCAGGGTGCAGAGATGGGATTTATCCACGTAATTAAAGATGTTTCCTCTTGTACTTGAAGGTTAAACTTTCTAACCTGAATTTGGATGACCATGCAAAGAAGAAGCTCATTAAACTTGTAGGAGAGCGGTACTGTAAGGATACAGATATGCTCACAATTACAACAGACAGGTACGGTTACAAGAGGGGAAAAAAAATGCCTGTAGCAATGATCACAGTATAGAAAAGGGTGGGTGTCTTCCAGTAATATCAATTATTGTCTTAGTAAATTATTATATTTTTAAGGCTAAAATATGACTTAACATGAGTACTAGTATGTTTATCTTATTAACTGTTAAAATTGTAATGGACAAATTACATAAGGTCAGACCTAATATTTGTTAAATATTGCTAGTTATTGAAGCTCTGTATTTAGAAGTCTCATTTGTTATTTTAAAGTAGTTGTCATGTTTCCCAAATGGGTTCTGTTAGTTTTAACAATGATACGAAGAGTTTCAGGCAAGAAAAATGGGGACATCGGTGACAAGACATTTCTCAATGTTTTGATGTTCTAGATATAAACAAATCACTGTAGTTATTTACAGTTATGTTCAGAAGGCTGCATGGGAGAAACGTATTTTCTGTGTTGAATTCTGAAGAGTTTAAGAGAATACATATGTATTCCTAAATTCACAATACACTTTAATTCACAGCTGCTTTCAGTGGTAGGAAAAACATTATTGGTAGTCTTTTCTGTTTGCACGTTTTTATTAGAATTCATTTTCCCCTCTTAAATTTCCTGTCCTTTGGTAGGAAATACTGTTTTATTTCTACATAAAGTAAATAAAAATGGATAAAATTGTACATATCTTTTTCGACTAGACTTGGAAATCCGGGTGGTTTACTGGGACCACTTGTGCTACCAACAGTTTTCATTTCCCTAGGAAGACTTATTTTGTGGCTAAAACATTAGGATAGCTGAAAGGAGCTTACCCTCTAGAGCATCTGTGAATGGTCTCATGCTGTGTTCCAGAATAAACTCTTAATGTGCCCGTTGGTATTTCACTTTATTTTTAGTAAATTCTGAGGCCTAAGCTCTGGGCGGTATCTATTTATTTGATACAGGATTTTCCAGGCTGGTATTTAGATTACTTTTAAACTGAGGCTCTTTCACTATGAAAGAAATAAGAGTCAAAAGCTTGAGTCCTTTTTAAAGTTTATTTGCTAGAATAGTCATAGTCCATAGTCATTCAGATGAGTGTTTTTAGAGTGTCTCAGATGTAGTCTCACATGATTCAATTTGTTCTGTATCAAAAAGGGAGGTGAAGGAGCCTGCAGAAAGAGGTGAGTGTGAGAAAGAGACGGGAGGTTATGGGTGATCAGCATGAGGAAGAGATTAATGTCATTAAATTCTCAGAGAACGTTTTGATGACTAGTTTTAAGAAATACACTGTTTTTGCAGGACTGTGTCGTATCCCAACAAATCTTATTGGTGATCCTGATTTGACTTACAGCTACATTGACTTAAACTTTTCTTGTTAAATTGTTGGCTAGGTCTTCTGTTCTGAACTGTATTTCATGGCTGTTTTCACCAGGCATCCTCCTCCCTTCACATCTCGGGGCTGGGGGGGGGGGAACGGGACGGGGCGGGGGGTGTGTGTGTGAAGGTTTTAAGGGAGTTCAGACTAAAGTATGTTGGATTCCAGTTTGGCACAGAGGGCAAAGAAGTTTTTAATGTTTCCTGAAGATCTGTAAATTCTTGCAGTATGTACATTTTCCTACTGACTTGCAGATGCCCATTCTTCCATGTTCTTGATAATCATGCTTTCATGATGTTATTCTTGATTGTGTGTAATTCAGAAATGCGTGTGAATCAAACACACATTTCCTTAAGATTCCGTATGTTAAAAATTAGAAATTTTGATGGTAAGTTTAACATTTTATTCAAAAAGATATTACAGTGAGTTAATTTCAAAAAGACTAGCTTTTTTTATTAATTTTCAGGTGTCCGCTTAGAAGACAGAACTATGATTATGGCGTACACCTCCTCACAGTATTGTACCATGAATCTTGGGTAAGCAATTGTGAATAACGCATGTGTGCTAACGTGCTTTCTTGTAACTTATAAAAAGTTCCATGACTGTGCGCAGCTTAAAGTAAATTATCTTAGATTCTTTTCCACTTCACTTTTCTTCAAAGTCAACCAAGGTAAGTTGCTTATGTTTGAATCTTATTCCCCAGTCAACTTAGAGTGCATTTCTTTAACTTCACAAGTGCTATTCTGTTGTTTGTATACATAATTTGCCTCTTTTCAGAAGTTCTCTAGCTTTTCACCTTAATAAGAGATTCTTTCCCAATACCTTGTTTCTCAGAACAATGAGCCTAAAACTGACCCTGAATCTAGCAGAAAACACCTTAGTTCTCAGGATTCCTAAATGTACCTTTAGTTTGGCAGCATGCGGGGCTGCCTATGCACAGTATTCAAATATGAATTGAGTGCATTCAGAGAAATGGTGTACTTTGTGATTATTGCCTGTTACCTAAGCATTTTTAACAGTGACTATGTTTAAAGATGAAAACAAATCTGTTCCAAAAAAGCAGAGGGGCGTGTTACTGGCTTTAAAGCTATGAAAACTAACGTACAGCACAGTATCTACATTTTACCTGATTCCAAACTCTTACCTGTTACTTAGAAATTGTCTTTTCTTGGGCTCTTCCTGGGCTGCAGTAGACCATGGCTGTCATTTGGAAGTATTCTGCTTCTGAAATGCTCTCTCACAAATCTTGCCTCAAGCTGGAAGGAGTGAGGACTTAGGCTGCTTTTCTGAGCTCCCTTTTGCTCAGAAAAGGGACATCCTCCCCACCTTCTGTTAGTTTTAGGATTTCATTGCATCAGAGTTAGTGTCCTGAAAAATATATAAAATTATTGTAACTCTTTAGATAAATATTTCTACCAAAGCAAATGTAATCTAAACTTTTCTATAATTATTCAGGATATGGCGTATTTGGAATTTTTCCCAATAGTTCGTTTTGTTAAATGGTTATACGTGTGAAACATCCAACATAAATATATTAAAGATACTATTCCAATTTATTGATAATTTACTACAGTTCTTAAGTAGACCTCTAAATATAATAAGATATCTTTAGACCACAGATCCTTCTTTTACAGTGAATTCTTCAGACCTGTCTCCTGTATTTTTGTGGTTAATCATGTTGATTATAAGTATTGCCTTCAACAATTTTACAGCCATTTTTTACAGAAAACAAGTTAACAGTCTGAAACGAAATTATTGTTGAAAACCCATAGTTATGTTTTGGATAACTTAACTTTGTTTAAATATAATATGTTATTAGTCACATTGTTTGAGATAGCCAGTGAAAGCCTTCATCATCAGTATATTGCCATAGATGTACTCTTAAATAAGTTGTAGCTGAATAGCTACCAAAATTCACACTTACTGTTTTCAGTTGTTCTATAGTATTTAAATTAAATCTCCATATTTAGCATTTTTATGAATTTCAGTGTTCTTGATTTTGATCATTGCAGTGATGACATAAAAAACATAATAAGGAGGATGAGCTATATTTCCCTTTCACTGGAAGTTGCCTTAAGGATACGTTTTGTAATTGTAGAGTGCATCAATTTAAATTCAGCTTATACTAACATCTTAAAAGATAGGTTTACTTTAGATTTCAAGTGTTTTGTACACCTGGATATTTTTTTCTCCCTGACAGCATTACATTGCATTACAAATCTTAAATTAATGACAGATCAGTTTCCAGTATTAAGCAATGACAAGAGAGCTAGACACTGCTCACTTTATTAATTCCAGATGAACACCGCATCTGTCCTTTGCTGTAGCATTACTTAGTGATGGAAGACAGGGCTATACGATATTGCTATGTGAGTGTTCAGTGTGTATTGAATGTGCCCAAGTCGCTTGCCCTTTTATTACCTTTCAGCTTCCATGTTAATATTTGATGAGTTCATCAATCAGTTATAATTGTCTTTGATTTCCATGAAAAATTAATGGTCTCCTGAGACATGTTTTTTTATTTTGTGTGACATGTTTTGTTTTGTGTTGGGTTTTGGTTCTTTCCGCTCCCCCCCCGCCCCGTCAGTGGTAATGCCTTTTAATAACTTGCTGAAAGATAGTTTGGATAGTTTTGTAAACCATAAGTAAACAATGTATGGTTTATGTTGATTTGTACAAACTTTAATATTGGAGGGGGATGGATGGGGACTGGCCTTCCATGTAGACAGTAACATCAATCCTGTTTACAGAACTCATTGCAAAACACAGTGTGTTTTCATGCATGTGCGTTATGGAATTCAATAAAAAAAAGATGAGGGCAGTGTTCCATTCTTGCTAAGTGAAGGGAAAGCTGGCTGCATGTAAATTTTGCCCTCAATTCTGAAAAGTTTGTCTACTATCTCCCTAAACATGGCATAACTATAATTTATGTTAATAACTGGATTACTGGATTTTGTGAAGCAGCAAGCATGGGAATATTTAAAAGGAAAAATTGTATGCAGATATACATCAGGAAATGTAATTTCAAGTGTAATTATATTTTAATTGCCAGTGATGCATAATTCTTTTATTACAGTTAAAGAACTGAGAGCATCCAAGTAGTTTCAGAATCTGAAACCTTTTTGAAAGAATGACTGTTCTTTGTGGTTTTATTGGGTAGAGATGCATTTCCAGCAGAAAGTTATTCTTAAAGTAATGAGTGTGAAGAGTTTAATTCTGGCTCGTCTGTCTCTTTGTTTGCATGCTTAGAAGACAAAATTTATCACTGTGTCAACAGTAGTCTCTATTACAAGTTTTCTTGTATGCTTTTCCAGTCTCGGCTTCCATAAAAACCCAGGGCATCCACAGCTTGCTAATTCTATTGCTATTGCAATTAGAGGGCTTAGGTGGAATTAGTTCGCAAGAATCCTTGTTGTAATGGAGTTACACTGAAATGTGCACAAGTGTGTGCAGACAAAATAGAAAGGAAAGAGGGGGGAATTACCAAGAATTGGTACAGGTATTGCTCTGCCTCAAGGCTCTAGATACATCGTTAAGAATGGATTTCTTGGATTGCAATGTGGGGAAGAGAGTTTGTTTGCATTTAAATAAATTAATAAAAGGTTATCCAAATCAAATTTGGCAAATTGGTTTCTGACATGTACCACAGCCAAATCAAGGGAAGCATGTTGGTGGGTTGATGCAGACTAGCATTTTTCTCTTCTAACCTGCTAGCAATCAATAGATGATGCAAGAAGACAGACTAGCCAAACTGTGAAAGGCTTTGAAGCTATGTTGGAGGATTGAACCTGGTGTAGAGAAGCTTTCAGAGAAGTTCAGGTGGTTTTTATAATCATGTGTGTAAGAGCTCCCTTTTTTGAATGCGTGGGGAAATAAGAAAAAGGCAAGGAATTGAAAGGAAGGAACAACTTCTTTGTTGTTGTTGTTGTTTTGTTTTGTTTGTTGTGGAAGGAGTAAATGAGTGTCTGTTTTGTTTTGGTTTTGTGAGCGTTAGAGGAAGAAGCAGAGCTTCCACACTGTGGGAGGGAGGGACAGGGGAAAAGAATTGTCAAACTGTTGATAGGTGGTCAGAATAAAGAGTTAAGATGAAGAAGTTGACAAAGGTGGCAGGAGTGCAAAAAGGTGGCAGGAGTGCAAAAAGGTGACTTGGGAATGGAGAGAGTAGCTGAAGCTATTTGATTACTTGTAGGAGAAGTGGGATACTACTTGGTAGCCTTTTGGGCTACATAACCGCTACGAGTTGGTAGTTAGAATTAGCATTGCATTTTGAAACTGTACTGTCTTTCCTGTCTTCTCGTGTTCACACAGAAATGCCATCAATGGACTTGACCATGCAAAATCCTGCAGAAGCTGAGGATGCTCAGGACCTTTCAGGATTGTCTTAGAATTTACCAAAATACAGTGCAGTGTTACCAGTTAGTATTTGATCTGACTTAAACAAATAAACCCCCTTTATTTTGAAGAAAGAAATGTGAGGATTTTCTTTTGTTGTCTAGAATGCATTCCCGTAGTGGGTAATGCTACCCTTGCTTTTGGCAAAGGGAATCTATAGTGCTTGTTATTTTCTGGCACAAAAAAAAATTGTTGCTTGTTTGGAAGAGAGGAGGAGAAACATGAATTCATCCTCTGGTTCTTGATCCATCCTCTGTTATCACAGGTTCAAATGAGATACACTGTAAAGCAGAACAACTATGGGAAGCTGTTCAGAATATTGGCAGCATATTGGTGGATTGATAGTAGTTGCTTGGTAAGACAGTGTGCTGTTTCTTGAGATGGATCTGAACAGTGGGAGCAGTATTGATTAGGGGTCTACATATTGTGTTCTTGGTTCAACCTATTTGAATTACTGGTTGGCTAACAAGGCTGCCTAAATCTAATGGAAAGCTCAATTTAGTTGTAGTCTTTATTACTTATAGAGATGCATAATAAGCAAGAAGTGTACCTTAAGATCCCAGACTGATGAATTTGGCACCTTAGTTTTGATAAATGCAGATAGATATCAGGCCCATGAGTTCAGTTATCTTTAAAACATTCCGATTTTAAAACATAAGAATGTTCATTTATTTTCTTACTTTAAAATACTTGGAGATCTTTTGCTCCCTGTTTAATAGTTTTCAGGCTATTAATCAAATATTTGTGGTTTATTAGCTTTTAGAATGTATTCAGTAAATATCTGACTTGCACCGTCTGGTAAGAATTGAACTTCTCTTCTTTGGACTTTTTCTGCAATTCCTTTCAAATTATCCCCCAGGATTGTGCCTGGATTGAATTAATCAATGAAAGGGTGAGATATATTAGGTAGATTGTTAAACAGCAGCTCAATCAGTTGTATTTCTGCTACCTTTAAACGATGGTACTTCTTGAATGCTGTAACATCTCTTTAAATCTGAATGTATTTTTATGGTATTAAGTGGTTTTTAAAGAGTAAGAGTTTGCTGCCCTCAAGTGGTTAAAAAGATCATAAGCCGATTTCTTCACACTCAGCTTGGATGAATAGTTTATCACTAAAAAGTAAAGTTCTGTTAAGAGTTGAAAG